ATTTATGTCATATGCTAAACCCTTCCTTGCTGTTTCAACAATGTTCATAGCTTCTTTACCAGGAGCAGATTCCATTTAAAGAAACCACTTTCTTTGTTCACCCATAAGAAGCAACTCTTCATCCATTCAAATTTTATCATGGGATTTCAGCATTTTAGTCACATCTTCAGGCTCTAATTCTAATTCCAGTTCTCTTGCTATTTCTACCACATCTGCAGTTACTTTCTGACTGAAATCTTGAACCCCTCAAAGTCATCCAAGAGCGCTGGAATCAAATTCTTCCAAATATTTGGAAGTTTTGACATTCTCCCATGAATCTCAAATGTTCTTAATGGCATCAAGAATGATGAATCCTTTCCAGAAGGTTTTCAATATACATTGCTCAGATCACTTTCTACGGTAGCTATAGCCTCACAAAACGTATTTCTTAAATAAGAAGATTTGAAAGTCAAAATTACTCCTCTATCCATGAGCTTCATACTAGATGTTATGTTAGCAGGCATGAAAACAACATTAATCTCCTTGCACATCACCATCAGAGATCTTGGGTGACTAGATGCATTGTCAATGCACAGTAATATTTCAAAAGAAATCTTTTTTTTTTTTCTGAGCAATAGATCTCAACAGAAACCTTAAAATATTCAGTAAATCAGGGTATAACAAATGTGCTGTCATCCAGACTTTGTTGTTCCATTTCTGCAGCATGGGCAGGGTAGATTTAGCATTAATTCTTAAGGGCCCTATGATTTTTGTAATGGTAAATGAGCCCTGGCTTCAACTTAAAAGTCACCAGCTACATTAGCCCCTAACAAGAGAGTCTGCCTGTCGTTTGAAGCATTGAAACAAGGCATTGACTTCTCTCTAGCTATGAATTAATAGACAGTATATTCTTTTAATATATGGCTGTTTTGTCTACATTGGAAACCTGTTTAGTATAGCAACTTTCATTAATTATCTTAGCTAGATCTGTTAAAAAACTTGGTGCAGCTTCAATATTAGCACTTGCTGCTTCACCTAGAGATGGCTTCATTCCTCAAACCTAATGAACCAACCTCTGATAGCTCCAAACATTTCTTCTGCAACTTCCTCATCTCTCTCAGCCTTTGTACAATTGAAGAGAATTAGGGTCTTGTTCTAGATTTGGCTTTGTCCTAAGGGAATGCTATGGCTGGTTTGATGTATCAAGACCATGAAAACTTTCTCTATTACCAGCAGTAAGGCTGTTTTCCTTTCTAATTATTCAGTTGCTCACTGAAGTGGCACTTCTAATTCCCTTTAAAAAATTTTTATTTTGTATTCACAACTTGGCTAACTGTTTGACAGAAGAGGTCTAGCTTTTGGGCTATCTGATCTTTTGGTGTGCCTTCTTCACTAAACTTATTTATGAGCTTCCTCACTAATGAAACAAAAGTTCATTTCTTACTTTTAATTTAAAGTAAGAGGCAAGCAATTCGTCTTTAACTTGAACACTCAGAGGACATTGTTGTATTATTAATTGGCTTCATCTCAGTATTGCTGTTTTTCAGGGAATAGGGAGCTCCTGGGAGGGGGGGAGAGAGGGGGAGCTGCTGATCAGTAGAGTAGTCAGAACACACACAACATTTATCCATTATGTTCACTATCTTATATGGGTGTGATTTGTGACACCTCAAAACAATTACAACAGTATCCCACAGATCACCATAACAGATACTATAATGATATAATGATAATTTAAAAAGTTTAAAATGTTGCAAGAATTACCAATGTGACACAAAGACCCAAAGTGAGCATATGTCATTGTAAAAATGCTACTGATAGCCTTGCCAGACATAGGGTTCCCACAAGTCTTCAATTTGTAAAAATCACAATATCTGAGAGGCACAATAAAATGAGGTATGCCTGTTGTTTAATACCAATTCATTGTGATAAGTGCTATGTTAGATCAGGTACATGATGCTGGGTGTAGGAAGGAGGTCAAGAAAGGCCGTTTGAAAAATGCTTCAAAGTTGAGTCATTATCTAGCAATGAGTCATTATCTAACAATGAGAGTGAAGAAGGTTTCTGGGGTCCTGAAAGTAGTTTAAAATATCTCATGAGATGAAGAGCAGAGAATAAAAGAGTAGAGGTAAATAGGATATATCTTTCAAAGGAGCTCTGAGATCCACTTATGGAATAACATTAAGCTTTCTGTGTATATGTATATAATTTTTTAAAAGGCATGGCGTTGGCCAGGCACAGTGGCTCATGCCTATAATCCTAGCTCTCTGGGAGGCTGAGGCAGGAGGATTGCCTGAGGTCAGGAGTTCAGGACCAGGCTGAGCAGAGTGAGACCCCAACTCTACTAAAAATAGAAAAATTAGCCAGGTGTGGTAGTGCATGCCTGTGGTCCCAGCTACTTGGGAGGCTGAAGCAGGAGGATTGCTTGAGCCCAGGAGTTTGAGGTTGCTGTGAGCTAGGCTGATGCCATGGCAGCAATAGAGTAAGACTGTCTCAAAAAAAAAAAGTCTTAATTTTTAAGGATAGTGTAGGGAGTGTTAAGTTTGGGTCAACTATAAAGATGGTGTCTACATTTTTCTGAATGCCATTTTCACAACAGAAGATCAGTGCAAAAACATGTTTATTAAAGGAAAACACAAGCTACAATTTCTTTTCACAGAGTAGATATTGAGGTGGGAGAAATAACACTTCTTTAAGCAATTGAGAAATTATAATCCCATTTCACAGATGAGGAAATTGAAAGACAAAGTTCAACTGGGTTAATCTCTATATTAGTATGTATGCTAAAACCAGAATTAAAATTTACTAATTTACTAGACAAGCATGACTGGACAACAAATGACGTGGCATAATTATCACTTGGCATACTCTCAAGAAGAGCTAAGCTCTTGCTTTAACTTGATTGGTGATATTTATGCAAATGGCTGCCTAGTCTTTAAATAAGAATTAATGTCCCTTTTATTTCTAACCTTCTTGGATTCTTAAATATTTTACTTTTAATTACAAATCACCTTACTTGTTACCTACTAGTTTTAGAAAAGTACAAATTATAGAATAATCTACTGTTTAATTGAAAATATGCCAACTTGGTGTATAGATTTTTCTGAGATTTTTCTGTTTAAGTATCAATATTTCAAGTTACTCCATGCCACTGAAGGTTCATTGATAAGAAGTCCTGATGAGTATAGAGCTGCTCCCAGCCAAATGTCTTGTCAGCTGCTATGGTGGAGATTCTCTATGTCCCCTATGTCTATTCTCTATTTGCTTCCATCTCAGTATTTACCTGTGGGTGCTCTGGGTCTAGATGGAAAGTGCTAGAAAGCCTACAAACAAGAGTACCCTAGATTCTCAGTAGACATCATTTGAATTGGGGAAAATTTACATGAATATTAAATTATTGCACACTTGAAGGTTTTTATGTCAATGTTTCTACTGTATGTACAAATTTATTTCTTATAAAAGTGACCTTGGGAGTTAGATGCTTATGTTTATTGAGCACTTACTGTGGGCCTTTTATCTCTCCAAGTGCTTTACATATATTAACAAATTTGATTCTTATATTAGCCCTATAATAATTATTATTATATTTGTATTATCTATCTAACAAATGGAAAAAAAGAAAAACACCAATTAGTAGGGGCATATACACATCGATTAACTTGCCCACAATTGCAAACATAGTAAACTCTCTAGTCAGAATTCCAATCTAAACTGTCTGATTCAGCAAAATGGCTTCAGTTTCCTTATTTTAAAGATACCTCACCCTTCTTTACTTAGAACTAAATGACACTGTCTGAATTTTGTGGAGTTTTTTTTCTTTTTCTTTTTAATTATTATGGATACATAATAGTTGTCTACCTTGTACATATCATGAAGTCATTTTGTTTTACAAAACATTCTCACTATTTACCTTCTCAAGACCTGATACAAACTATCTTAGGTTATCAGGATAGCTATTCGGATTTTCATTTTAGAAAAATAGCTGAGTCTCAGAGGGGATGACTTATCTAAGCTCTGGACCGGGGTCACTCTAGGCCAACTGACTTATTTACTATTTTTTTTTTTTTTTTTTAGACAGAGTCTTGCTCTGCTGCCTGAGCTAGAGTGCCGTGGCCTTAGCCTAGCTCACAGCAACCTCAAACTCCTGGGCTCAAGCAATCTTTCTGCCTCAGCCTCTCGAGTAGCTGGGGCTACAGGCATGTACCACCATACCCAGCTAATTTTTCTATATATTTTTAGTTGCCCAGCTAATTTATTTCTATTTTTTAGTAGAGACAGGGTCTCACTCTTGCTCAGGCTGGTCTTAAACTCCTGACCTTGAGCAATCCTCCCGCCTTGGCCTCCCACAGTGCTAGGATTACAGGTGTGAGACACCACTCCCAGCCTTATTTACTATTTCTAAGAAGAGTTGCTTGCTTCCCTTATTACACAGTTTGTTTTTACTGCATAAGTAAAATTGGAACAGAAACATCAAGGACCATTCAAAACCATTTCTCTTAGTTTTTTAGGCACTATTATTTAGTTAAGAAGATGACTGGATGACAGCATTTTGGTGTTAAAAAATGCAACACATTGCCAGGCACAGTGGCTCACACCTGTAATCCCAGCACTTTAAGAGGCCGAAGTGAGAGGATTGCTTTAGTCAGGAGTTTGAAAAATGGAACACATATCCATGGATGAATAGAACTATTGACAGTTCAGGAGAACAAATACTTTCAATGGCATATGTGGAAGCCAAACGTGTTAATCTCACCCTATACTCCTAACAGAGATATCATGCTCATAAAATCAAGGAGTTGACACTATAGCAAATGAGGATTTATAACAGCATATAAACAAGAGGCAATATGATGTGTGCAGAATATATTAAATGCCTACAAACCCAGGCTGGGTTACTCAAAGTCATATAATTGCAAATGTTTGTCAGAAATGGAATCAGTGGGCTTGAACTACCCTATGTAGGATCTCCTGTATAAACAAATCAGAATCATAAAACTGTTAAAGTAAACTTGTTCAGGTACCTGGATGAGAAAAATGTTGTTTTCTAGAAGCATCTGAATATTCCAAGGAAGAAAGTTGGTACACTGTGGGAAAAAACACCTAAGATTAGCAACCAGGAGACTTGAATTTCAATGCTTGCTTTAGGATCCATTTGTGATGATCTCTTACACAAGCCTTTTGATCTCTTCAGGATTACTTGATCACCTGGGAATTATATATTTGTCCTACTTGCTTTCATGGCTTAATGTGAAGTTCATGTAAAAATGCAGGCATTAAAAAGCAAAAACTTGAGCTATGTGGGGTGGGGAAGCTACAGCCTATCTTGAAATCAATTCAAGATTGTTCTTTTTTAAGCACCAAAGGAGGAGAGAAAACTTCTTCTTTCTCTGCTGCACCCCTTTTAATAAAAAGATTTGTTCTGCAAAACTTGGATTCAGTCAAAAGACCACACTTAAGAACGCAGAAGTCCACATTACACCTTAAGGCTACAGTTTCCCCCCCCCAAAAGGCCATTAGCCTGGGGTTGTTTCTGTAATCAGAACTCCTGCCTAAATAAACTGATACCCAATTCAATGTAAGCAGTAAAACAATACTTATGCTTAATGAATCAGCAACTTCTAGCTAACCTCTAACTAGGAACTTTTCACTAGATTATATTCAAATAAGGCAAAGGCCTAGCTGTAGCCAATGAAATATTATCTCTATTTTGCTTCTGTTTTGATCTTTAAAGGCCTACTGCTCATGCTGCAGAGCACAGCTCTCTGAACCTCCTCTGGTCCTAAGTGCTGCCTGATATATGTACATGTACATATTATAAGTTTGTGTATGTGAGAGTGTGTGTGTATGTGTATGTGTATACACATATGGTTCTTTGTTTATATAAACTCTATCAATTTAATTTGTCTAAAGGTTTTCTTTTAATAGGACAGGCATTGTGCTAGGTACTTCTCTCTGTTTCCCTGATAGTGTATTATTATCACTTTACTGATAAGAAAACTCAGACTCCAAGAGGTTAAAGATATTTTTCAAGTTCACACATTTAGCAATCTGTAGGACAGGAATTCAAATTTAGGTGTATCTATCAAAAGAGACAATGATAAGAGACAGATGAAAGAGTCAGAGAAATAGGAGAACAACTGGAAAAGTCTAGTATCATGATGGACAATGGGTGAGAAACCTTCAAAGGGGAAATCATTTGATATTTTGAGGCCTTTGGGGGTCACTTCAGACCTTTTAAGGCGCAACTTCTATGAGTGTTATGTTGACATAGAATTCATATGTAAAGGCAGCTGAAGCCATCTGTTTACTCCCTAATTAAACTAATTTGCTTTTGTTGTTTCACAGTGAGAAGCTATGCTCGCCTCCCTATAGCCCATCTTCTTTATTATACTAGGTACCCCGTGAAAAGAACAGATGTATGGATCAGGGGGAATTTGTGGCCTTTCTCAGGAAAACCATCTCAAGTACTTGTCGCATGAAAAAAGGATGAGATATGCCAAGTGCATTTTCTCCTCCTCTTCTTCCTCTTCCTCTTCCATCTTTTCTTCCTCCTTCTTCTACATCACCATCATCATAGTTTTAGTGGTATGAAAGCTACAAAGGCCCCTCTGGTCTTGAGCAAGTCAGTTAGCCTTTCTCATGGTAGTTCCCTCATATATAGAAAAATAATGTAGAATAAGACAGTTGGATCAGGCTATAGCTGGGTTCCTTTGCAGCTTTAAAACTTGAGAATTATCAAATTAATCATAATGAGCTCACTCTGCATAAGACAGAGAGAAAAGAATAAGACATAAATATAATCCTGTACCCTAGGGGCTTAGAGACTAGAAGCTATCTGAAAAAGCTGGGATTCATGTAAGCACATTCCAAGGGCCATTCAGACTATAATTTTGCTTCCAGTACATTTTTGGATTGTTGTGTCTTAAAAGTTCAGAAATAACCTGCTCCTTACTTACACAACTGCCAGGCACAAGATTAGAAAATGACTTTGAGGAAAAACAGACAACCTATTGGTTGCTGATAACCATCAAGCAAGTTATGATGATTTGCACAAAGCTTACTTTCTGCCACTAACCCCCTTTACTTCTTTTCTTTATATAAGTTGCTCAGTAAGCAGAGGAGATGAGATGGTCTTTAAGACAATAGCACACCGTCTCCCCAGGCTTCTGGTACTTGAATAAACCACCTTTCCTTCACTAACACTCACCTCTCCTGTCTGGTTCTTGGACAGTGGGCAGCCGAACCTGCATTTGGTAACATTCACAACAAAAGTTATCTGAAAATATATCATTAGGAAATACTGAAATCTTATTATCTCATATAATATCCAATAATATTTATCTTTGAAGGTTAAATTGGGTTATTTGCCTCTTTCCTTTATTAGACTTCCCTTTACTCCATTACCCTCATCCTATTACTCCTTCATTTCACTTTTCAAAATGATATTTATGATTTAAAGCCCAAGCCTCTAATATCTGGTACTCTAAAAGACCTCTTTGCTCAACAAGAAATGATTTCACCATCTTTTAAATTCAAATTCTACAGCATCATAGCCTAGGGGCACCTGGGATGCATTCTTTTGGGAAGGTCCTGATTTCAAAGTCTGGCTCAACCACTGATTAGCCAGCAGACTTTCCTAAACCTTAATTTCCTCTCCAGTAAAGTAGGTCTGATAATAATATCTTCCTCACAGGGCTGTTATGCAGATTAAATGATGTAACATGAATGTGCTGAGCATAGATTCAGTGAATGTATCTGAATCCTCCCCTGGCAATTTACTCAGCTGTCGGTTTCAGTCAAGTGTGTATCCGTTTTATGCTCCATGGGAGAGAATGAAATCTAAGGACAGGAAACTCCTCTCCTACTTATCTCTGCATTTTCCTCACTACCCCCACCCCTGTTCTGCCCAGGACCTAGCATAGATTCTTTGTTTATGTGTAAATTTCATTATAGTGGTGTCAGTCTGTGCAAATCATCTTCTGAAACTTGTTAAGAATGTTCAGCAACATACACTTCAAACAGTAACAGGGACAGAGTGGAAAACTCTCTCTTGTCTTCTTCCTATTCCCTAATCCTTATGCCTTCCTCCACTACTTTGGAGAGGAGGCTGCAGTCAGTCATTTCACCATAAGAAAATAATTAATTTTCTAATGAAAATCTCTGTTGTTAAATATTCAGCACTGTCACAAGCCCTAAGGGAGAGAATGCATTGATGTGATGCATTTGACCAATGTGTGAGCCCTGCCTTGGTGAGAACAGACTCTCCCCTGACTCTAGGAGACAATCGGTGGGAGGCCTGAATAATGAAGCTTGAATGCTCACCAGTGCACCGTCTCTAGCTGAACACCAGCTCCTACCTAATCCTTTTCCTTTTTCATTCATCCCCTTTACAACTTCCTAAGGATTTGGCAGTTTTCCACTGTGTCCAACCTACCAAGCTGTAAATACTCAACTGAGAAATACAAAATGTGTTTATAGGACTTCTGATGGCTCCTCATCTAAACCATAAATATGAAATGCATTTCGACATTTCTTAGAAAACACTCCATCTTCCAGATTCAATTGGCAGCACAAATTTACTCCCCACGAGACTGAACACCAAAAATCTCAACTTTGCAGTTTTCAATCAAGTACATGCATATGGCTGCATTGTGCTAACAAAAGTAGAACATTATTATGTCATATACCCACAGTGGCCATGTCTTCAAATGATTATTTCTAAGCTGTGAGAAATTTAGTTTGGTAGTATTTGAGCATCATAAACAGTCTGAGACTTTGATGTTAAAGGCTTTCTATGGCTGCAGCCACAGTAAAAGCAGATGAAATACAGTGTGGATAAGATCCTAGATTTAGAAATCAGACATTTCTGTGCTACCACCTATATAATGTGCCAGTTGTGAAGTTACTTAAAATTTCCAAGCCTCAGTTTCCTCATAATAATAAAATAGCAAGAAATACGAAAACTACCTAATAGAATATTTGTGATTCTAAAGTGAAATGCATATAAATCACCTAGCTTTGCACTGGCATCTATTAAACACTCAACTAAAGGTGCCAATTAAAAAATAAACTCTTATATCCATTACAAGGTAGAAATCTTAAGACCAAAATTCTTACTGAGCCCTCAGAGATATTGCCTCCTTTAGGCTGAGCTACCTGGACTTGTAATCACATCTAGAAAGACTCAATTTCAACCCAAGATTCTTGATCCTGTTTTCATTTTTTTTTCCCTCCATCTATTGGGAGCTGTGATCAGGCCAGGATTAAGTACTGGTTTCTATAGGATTGAAGCTTGAGACATCTAGGAATGATTGTGTAAGGTAATTGTTTATGTCTCTGTCTCTTCTGCTAGAATGTACTCTCTCAAGAGCAGGACCTATGTCCCTCATTATCATGCCTCTTAGTGATCAACAAGGGAAGGCCACTGCCTAATTGCTAGTGTCAGGCCAGCTCTCAGCTGATACTTGTCAGAGACTGTTTTGTTTTGTCTTTTTTTTTTCTTTTTCTGAAGGTGTCGACTAATTTATCTCATACATGAAAGGGACTTTGAGGCCCGTAGCACCATGCTGGGTGCTTTATTTACATGCTTCATCTCATTGAATCTTCACAGTGATCTATGAAATAGACACTCCTGTTATTCCTATAATGTGAACGACAGAACTGATGATTACAAAGGTTAAGTAAACTTGCCTAAGGTCTTCCAGCGAGTGACTGAGTTTGGATCCGAAACCAGAACTTATTGAGTATAGAGCCCACTGACTAATTAAATGCCCATTTACAGGAAGTATTGACAAATGTAATGAGTCTTTACAATCACTATGAAGGATTGTTGATGGATTTCATTATCATGTTTCCAGTTTTTGTAAGCATCTCATCCCAGATCACAGCAACTGACTCCCCTTGAAAGTTGGAGAGCTCAAAACTGTTTACATGTACTTATACAACCATCTCATGTGACCAGAGATTGACAGAGTCTAACCTGATTCTCTTCTTCTAGAGTCCAAGTCTCAGCACTAAAGCATGTAGTATCAGGGTAACCCAGCCTGTATGGAGCTTTCCAATATGCGACAGGAAGAGCATGCTCCCCACCCCAAATATTCTTACTGGCCATGAGATTCTAGAGCAGGAGATCCTATACATAATGTTCGTCCACTATTTCTGCATTTTTATGTGACTCAGCTCAAAGAAGATATTGAAGTTTGGGACATGGGCATGTCAGCTTAGAAATGGAACAGAAAAGTCTCAGAGAATAGGAACATAAGATCTTACCTGGGAAGTAAATGCCAGCTGTCACCTAGAATAATCCAGGGGATTATTCTACAAATTATTCTACAAACACAAAAATCCCCTTTAACACTTTCTACAAAAATCCCTTCCAACTTTGAGACTAAGAGATCCCTAGAGATGGGTCTGAGACCTCTGTACTGGGTCTCACCACAGGCCAAGTTTATACTGATGCCCAAGTGAAAACACACAAAGCAGGTTCAGCCTATTTTTAGATAGCCTAGAAATCAGAATCAGTAGGGAGCCAAGAGAAGCTTTGAGGATGCTGGAGTCATTTACTTTGTATTAACAGAAATTAGCAGGATATTTTCTGGAATCTTTATTTGGAAGTCCACAATGCCTCCCTAACCAAAACAAACCATGCTCCCCCTTCCCCTTTTCTTCACAAGCCCCAGTTAGTGCACAGCAACCTCTATCCTCAAATAAACCTGGCTAATTGATTCTCTTAACATTGGGGGTGACTGTCTTAGATGGTTTCTTCCTAACCTTTTTGGCTGCTTCTAATCCTATTAGCAAGCTCCTATCATAGAACATTAATATAGTTGAATCTGATTTCGGTTTTTTGCCAATACCCTACAAAATGCAGCAGCTTATTAGTGACTTTTATGTCATGTGTTTTTAGCAAAATTGAATGCTAATGAGATGTGATTGGGTGGAAAATTATAGCAATAGGGTGCTTGCCGTCTGTAATTGCAGCATAGGCTTTAGTTAGGAATGGAGCTATCAGGATTTCTTTTACTTAATAGTGATTTCTGAAGCACAGAAAGGCACAGTGTATTTACAATTTATACAGCAGATGATTAAGTGGCTTTCACTGGTGGATGGTGGGACAGCCTTGCAAATCATCAAAATGATCCGGGAAAGCGGAGGGAAGGTAACAGTTGCATTGTCTCATCTGAAGCCTCGTTTATTACCTTGCCCCCCAAAAGGAGTAGAAAGGGATGCAGGATCATGGCAATAATGGTGGTCTTATCTAAAATAAACTTATTAAATGAGACAGATTCTTTATTAACTAGTCAGGAGTCAAATGATTAAACAGGTTTTCTTGCCATTGAATTTCTAGCAGAAATCAATGTACATTATACAGTTGCAGCAGCTGAGATTGCAAAAGACCCAAGGACAGCGTAAAGGCTGTGATTTACTGAAATATTTCATCAGTGTAATGGTCAAGAGATGGAGTACAGTTTGTCCATGGAGTATAGCTTATATCTTGTTTATTTTTGTATGTGTTAGAAAAGCTACTTGCATAAACTCCCCACTTGTAGTATTCCTGTTGTGAAACCATAACTGTCCAACTGAAAAGAATTGTCTCTCCATTCAGGGTATTTATAAAAATAAAAAGCTGCTTTATAGAGACTTAGATATTGTCATTCAACTCTAGACGGTGCTACCCAATGAGTTTGGCATGGTTTACGACAAATATCGTGACAGGGAGTTGTTAGATGTAGTGCCAGGTGCTCCCTGTGCCAGCACAGGGCACTAAAGAGGCACAGAAGAGACTGCAGTTTATGTTCTTGCATAATTCAAACAACTGGCTTGACCTTTCATGCAAACTTTCTTTAACACCTACAGCTTTTGGGAGTTTGTACAAATAATCATCTTTCCAATCGAAACTTTAGAGAAAGATATACAGTTTTAAAAGGAGGAAAAATATAAATTTCAACTCTAATGCTCAGTAGCTGAAAGAACTCCTTCTCCTTGATTAACAGTAAACATGATATTATGTAATTATTTGTGACATGTCTACTTCTGAAAAGGATTTGAAGTGCCTTATAATAAAATCCATGTATAATCAAATTTCCAATTATCTACAACTGTGTATCAAACTACCCTAAGTCTCAATGGTGTAAAATAACAACTATTTTATTCTGTTCACAATTCTATGTGTCAGAATTTGGGGAATGAAACAGCAGGATAGCTCATCCCCACTCCCAATACTGGGGTGAGTTGAACAACTATAAATTTCTGGGATCATATATCAAGGGGGTTGGGGGGCTCTTGGTTCTTTATCCCACCCCTGCTAGGGATGAATGCTCAAGGTGGTTTCTTCACTCATATGTCTTGCCCTACTAAAATGACTGGAACAGTTGGGGCTGGCCAGGCCTTTCTCTTTTAATGAACTCTGCTCAGGAAGCTTCTTCAAAGCTTGTTAGTTCTCTGGGTAGTGGGACTTCCATTACACGACAGAGAGCTTTCCCTTGTGACCCAGAAGGCCTGAGCAGAAGCTGGGAAACTTCTAGTGAATGACGTAAGCTTGGAAGTCCCAAAACCCTCCATGTGTGACCTCTATCACATTCTAGTGGTCAAACAAGTCCCTAAGGCCAGTCTTGATTCAAGAGCAGAGGAAGCAGACAGTATTTCTCAGGGGAAAGAATATAGACCAGATTATGCAGCCGCTATAGGCATAAGATAGCTAGAATAATATGTTTAAAGTAAGAGGAACTGTACAACTAGGTAAACAATTATAACAGAAAAGGAGGATCATGACACATCCTACTATGAGTATAGACTTTAACCCTGAGTTTCTCAATGATCAAGGCAAAAAGAAAAGAAAGAAGCAGGAACTTAATGTCCATTAACTGTTTCAAAAGATTGTGCTAGGTTTGTAGTCAGGACAAAGTTTTTCCAACTATTTTCCAATGAATAGAGTAATAATCAACAAAGATAGAACATGACATGTATTTTATACAGCAACTTTCTTGCAAACCATTTCCTTTTTGTCTCAATATCCCAATTCACCCATGTGGTGGTAATCATTCTGGATAGGAAATTAACTGCTTAGAATGGAGGCTGAGATTAGGAGGGCTGGAAGAAAGAAAGAAGAGAAATGAGAGTAAGCTGGAACAAACATCAAGAAAAAGAAAAACAAAGGAGAATAGGATTAAGGGAGTGGTGGTGGGGTGGTAGTGGGGAGGTGGAGGATAAAGAGAGAGACAGAGAAACTAGGTAGACAGACTTGACCTACTCAGCCTCATAAAGAGTATTACATGTCACAAACTCAAATGTCTCTAAAGGTCTGGCAGGTACCTAAAATAGCGGCAACATATGAGGCCTACAGTGATAGAAAGAGGTGAAGCCTTTGTCAAGTAGAACAGTGCATGTCCTACCTAAAAGCATCAAATTATTTTTGATTAAGTTGATTTAATGCCAAACATACCCATTTTTATAGCTGAGTTCAGGCTGCTGCTGTCAGGTTGTATCCCTTGAACTTGATTTTGTGGAGCAATTCTGAGCTCTTAGGCTGAAATATCACATTGCTAAGTCCCTCCTAGTAGAGAGACCCTCCAGGATGGCACTGAGGGTTGATCACCGGTATTCACAGAAATGTGAATTTCCTAATTCCTGTTCTCAGTTCCTAAGAGTTAGGACTCATCACTTCCTGAAGTAGTCACTGTCGAAGAAATAAGAGGAGGAATTTTCATTACCTATAAGGGATAAAATAATGAACTAAATGAAGCTAGTGCCAAAAATGACTCTTGCTGAAATCCAGAGTCTTAGAGCTGAGAAATGCATCAGTGTATTCTATAATGCAAGCTACTATATTAATTACTTATAATTGTTACCTTTTAGACATCTAATGTGCTAAAAATGACAAACAAACAAAAAGATTCTAATATGTTCTTTACTCTTTGGCCTATTTTTCCCATTTTCTCCCCTCTCCCACCCCTGGTAACCAGCATTCTACTTTATATTTCTATGCATTCAATATATTTCTTTTAGATTCAACCTATAAGTGATATTATACAATATTTTTTTTCTTTTTGGCTGATTTCACTTAGCATAATATCCCCAAGATTCATCTATGTTATTGTGAATGGAAGCATCTCCTTTTTTAAAGGCTCAATGATATTCCATTATATATATTCCAATTTCTTTATACATTCTTCTGTTGATGGACACTTAGGTTATTTCTATATCTTCATTATTGTGAATATCACTGTAATAAACATAGGAGTGCTGATATCTTTGCAACATATTTATTTAATATCCTTTGGATATATACCTAGTAGTGGTCTTGCTGGATTACATAGTGGTTCTATTTTTAATTTTTTGAGGGACCTCTAAACTGTTTTCTATAATGGTTGTGGCAATTTATAGTCTCACAAATGGTTGTACAAATTTATAATAGACAGGGTTCCTTTTTCTCCACACCCTCACCCATACTTATCTCTTTTCTTTTTGAATATAGTCACTTTATTATCAAAATAATAGGTGTGAGGTAGTTTTGATTTGCATTTCCTTGACTATTACTGATGTTGAACACCTACATCAAAATCAGTGGGGGGAAATTGAAATCTTTTCCTTTAAATTCTGGTACAAGCAAGGATGGCACTCTCAACATTTCTAATTAGCATAGTACTGAAAGTACCAACATGAGCACTTGGAAAAGAAAAAGAAATAAGAGGCACCCAAATAAGAAAGGAAAAAGTTAATTTATCTCAGTTAGCTGATACATAATACAATATATAGAAAACCCTAAACACTCCACAAAAAAGGCTGTTAGAATTAATAAGCAAATCAAATAAAGTAGCAGGATACAAAATTAACTACAAAACTCAGTTGCATTTCTTTATAAGAACCTTTCTGAAAAAGAAATTTTTAAAAATCTTATTTATGATAGTATCATAAAGAATAAAATACTTAGGAATAAATTTAACCAGGGAAGTAAAAGATCTACACACAAAAAATAAAGTATAAAATATTGATGAAGAAATGAAAGAGACACAAATAAATGGAAATATATTCTGTGTTCATAGATTAAAAGAATTAATGTTGTTAAAATGTCCATAAAATTAAAGCAATATACAGAGTCAACACAATCCTTATCAAAATTCAGTGTCATTTCTTACAGAAATTGAAAAACAATTCTAAAATTCATATGAAACCACAAAAGACCTTGAATACCCAAAACAATCTTGAGAAAGAAAAAGCAGAGTTGAAAGCATCATACTTCATAATTTAAAATTATACTACAATGTTATAGTAATCAAAACAGTACCGCACTGGCATATAAACAGACACACAGGCCAATAAAACAGAAGAGAGAGCCCAGAAATAAACCAAGCATATATGATCAACTAATTTTTAATAAAGCCAACAAGAAGACATTGAGAAAAAAATACCCTCTTCAATAAATGGTGTTAGCACTCTTTCTTTTTAATCAAAACACATTTTTCTCTCAAAAAAGTAGAATTTTTAATGAAAAAATTAAACACACTGTTTTCTATCACTATGGTTTTTCCCTTTCTTTTTAAAATTATGTAGCACAGATTGATAGTGTTTCAAATTTTCTGAACTCACTCAGACTAATACAGTTTTTGTTGTTTGCAGAGCATATAACAACCCAATTTCTCTTTTGCTAGTCTCTTCAAATTTAATTTCTCTATCTTTGCCACTTGTAGGAAGTTAAACGTGGGTACTCTTTATATCTCTGCCCCATAGCTTTCTCTTCAGCGTGCGGTGTGACAGTGTGTTCTATTCATTAGAAAGTGTCACATCTATTTAGACACATCTTACTTTATGTACAAAGATGATTTTTTTCAAAGATGGATAAATAGTAATAGACAAAAATACAAGAATATTATCTCTTCCAAAAGCAAAGCTATAGTTCCTTCGATGCCTCAACCCAATGTTAATTAATAGTGGATCTTTCAGATTCCACTCAGGCCAAATGAGTTGTGATAGAGTTCATATATCTCATGGGTCATTTTGAGACACCCAACTCAAATGTCACTAGATGTTAGTCACTAAGTGATGAAAATCTCAGCAGAGTTCCTCAAATGATGTAGATTCTCAGGAGTTTGGATCTTTAATGTTTTCTTTGATAGCGAGTTTGTTCTGACTCACTGATTGGAGAAAATTAGGTGAGATATAAGAAATAGTATTTGTTACTCCCTTTAGATTGAGGTTGATTATCATAAATAATGTGGTGAACTCGCTAGTAAAATGGCCCTGATGGTCTCCATTCATCTATTTGCTATCCATTAGCTACCCGTATTCCATGCGAAAAAAATGTCATAAGCTCCTTCCTATTAACACATTTAATCATTCAGTCTTAATTGCAGATATAGACTTTAGCAGTCTAATGTAACAGAACAAAAGATATTGTGAAAAAAAATGGGTTCTGTGGGAAAGAGAGGAATTCATTTTACCTTAGACAAAGGAAATGTATTATAGGTAGGGGTATTCAAAGTCCTTTAGTTTCATAAATATTCCATCTTCATGATAATGGACAGTTGTGCTTTTATGAACTTCTCAGAGTCAGCAAACTTTGGTTCAGAGCTGGAGTTATTAAAGGGCTGAGGATAGAGAAAGCAGACTCTCTCCTAAGTGGGCATTTTCAGTGTGGAATTACAGTAAGCTCCCTCATCAACCATTAGACTGACATTCACAGTAATGGAATTTATAATAATTCACTCCCTGCCACAAAGAGCCCAGAATTAAAAGGTCTTGTCCTTCATTGTTAAGTCCTGCACAATTTTTCCCTCTTTAAGATCTTTTGTGAAGATCCGCTGGTCCAATTGATATTATTTTCCTTTTAATAGAAAATTTCTTTCCTCTGTATTTCATTTTAAAGTCACTCTAGCATGTATTTAAATCAGCAACACCTGTGAGTGACCAGACAGAGACAATAGACCTGATTAGCGACCCTTTTCAATGAGATTTCCGGTATGGATAAATACTGGGGCCCAAAAACAACTGTGTGTCTTGAGAAAGCACGGAATTATACGTTCACTTAGAGATGAAGCTTAATAGTGTCTCACAAGAATTGCCAAAGCCATCCTTTTCTTATAGGTGAAAGATAGAAGCCAAAGTATGCCTTCAGACGGCAATGACAAAGAGACAAAAGGCTGCCGGGTCTGGGGTTACACTTAAGAAAGGGGATGGAAACTGCAGCCCTAGCATCATGATTATAATACCTTGGCAAGATTTTGGAAAGCTTTGTAACTTTTCCCTTTTTGTTATTTTTATGACCACGCTGTCTGTATACCTGAATCAGGAAACTTATTAAAGGAGAACTTGGGCACCCTGCATCTTCCTACAGCTAAATTTGAGGGGATTAACTCTCCAAAGAACAGAGTGATGGTAGCCACTGAAAGAAGGAGAATGAGAACATAAACAAGCAGAATTGTTTGGGCTCACAAAGAAGAGGGCGGTGGGTGTGGGCTGAGCAACAGACCAAGAGGTTTGGCACTCACAAAGTCTCTGTGGCTCTTCTACATTCATAGCTCCCTAATGTAACTGCATGCACCATGTCAATTTTAATGAAAAAATTAGGACCATTAGAAGAATAACAGATTAGCAGAATTAATATTTTACATGATTAATTAAATATTATTCTATCTTTAAGCCCAAGGTCTCACAGCACTGGTCTCATAAGAGTAAATGAGGTGTCACTTGTATCTATTATTTTTGAAATGTCTATTCTTTAAAGTTTTGAGAATGAGGCATGATTTTCGGAAGGGAGCGTGTTTTCTTTAATGGCATAGATTTATGACTCTACTTATAAACAAGAATGATTTGAGAGTTTCCAGTATATAATGGTTAATTTTTTTTAAAGAGCTTTATTTTAAAGAATAAATTGATCAATGCTGTGTGTTCCTCTTTGTATATAACCCAAAGATGACAGGGCTCTGAAAATCACTTGAAATAAATATACCCAAAGTATCAAAGAATACTCACTGATTAAAGAGAGACAGCAAGGGAAGATATTGAAAAAACATTGAAGCTCAAGCACAGAGTTAGTATCAGATGAACCAATATTATGATAAGGTTTATCATAAGATAAAAAAATACTCCCCTAGTAGTTCTTTTGATACTTAATCTTCTGTTATTAAAAATATTTTTAGAGCACTCTCTTACTTTGCTGGTCATAGTATAATTTTGTAAAACCATTTTGGAGGGCTGTTGGCAAAATATAATAAAAGCCTTAAAATCCAACAAATTTTATTCATTCTACGAATTTTTTTCCTGAAGAAACATGCATACCACATAAGCATGTTTTATAATACAAATAAATGAAAAAAACTTAAAGTTCCTAAATAATAGAAACCTAAATCTAAATAATAGACAATTAGCTAAATAATCTAAATTATATTAACAGGATTGAATACTTCGTAGCCATTTCATAGGTTATAAAAGATTATTTAATCATATGGGAAAGTAATCACGTTAACTTAAATAACAGTGTGGCTATTCTATGGAATTCCATGAAATCATGAAGAGTCTAGAAGTTGTATATAATGCACTAGAAGGAAGAAATATAACTGTGCTGAAGGAATTGATTTCTAACAGGTCACAGGACAACTACTAGCTCAAAAGGAGACCAGAGAAATGAAAATGTATTAGATTTTGATATGTTCATTCATTATTCATTTACGTATTCATCTA